GCAATGGGAGCCCGGGGTGCAGCAGCTTGTCGAAGTCGTCATCTAAAGTACTTTTCTGAATTTCTATTTTGGATCTGATAGGGATTGTTGGATAGATTGAGTCGTGATTTTATATTCTGTCGTGCTTGGAATTTACGTTTTAAACCTTTTTATTCTGATGACATGTAAGTCGGTAACTCTTAAGTCGTGATGGCCGGTAGACCGGTAATGCTTGAGTCGTGATATTCCTTTGGATGTTTACTCTGAATTCTTATTACCGTACAACATAATTTTTTTTGACATATGATGAATCTTATATGCTTCTCTTAAACATGTCTGGATTTCTTCTATCTTTTCATGATGCCGTATATTCAAAAATCCTACATGGATTCGTGATTTGAAACACTCAAGTTTCTTCGCAAACTTGAATACTGAATTGGTTCTCTCATAATGTTCTTTATTCATAAAAAAATACTAGCAGTGTATTGAATTCCTCATTTTTTGTGGGCGTATGGATATCGATTCTTTTGATCTAGTTGGAAATCCTAAATTAATAAGTGATGGAATTTTGCCCTGTAGAGTGTACTCTCGTATCTGTTTTTTTGTGCACTGGTCATGGGAGATACACTCGGAATTGGGTAGTGGGGTTTTCTTCTCCAGCTCACCCCTCTATGTGGGGGTCAGTGCCGATTGGCTACATCGGGATAGTAGATGGAGGGACACGACGCATACTGCTGATGAAGGGGCTAGTTGGTGGGACAGGAATAGGGCACAGCAACGAAGATGGTGGCTTCGTTGTGATAAGTATTGTGGGAGTGGGGTTTGGGAAGGGGTTTAGGCGGTCCTGGTGTGCTGAACACAACCAGTGTGCGAAGGGAGCCGGATAGTGGTGATGTTCAGCGGATCGCTCGATGGCTGGTTATCGCCATCATATCCATGGGTTTACAGTTGGCCGATGCCAGAACGACGCTGGCCGGAGCTAGGGTTTGGCTGTGCTACCCTATAACCCGAGTCATGTGGGAGTTAGAGGCCTGGTAGAGAGATCTGGGGAACTGCCAAGGGTGGAAAGCGGTCCAATGGCTAACCGTGAGCTGTTATGAAGACGACGTTGGTCGCAGCTGGGGGGGTCACGCTGCCCTGTAACCCAACGGTTGGGGGTGTGAGACCTGGTTGAGCTTAGTATTTAGGATAGGTGGGTTGAGGCAGCTGTAGAGTGGTCTGTTGAATAACACGGGTAACGTGGTTTTGGATATCTTGACTCCCGAGTTATCCCAAACTGGTTCTCATTCTTCAGAAGTAAGGGCCTCGTTAGACCCTCCTTGGAAAATCCTCAGGAATTAGGACGAAGTCCTTGGAAAAATTTTCAGTTTTCGGCGTCGTCGTTACACCGCGTCCTAATTCGATGGGTCCCAAGGAAAACCCTTGGAGACCTCTGGCGGCCAATTTCATATGCATACACGCGGCCGCGGGGTGCGAATGTCCGTGCGTTGTCGGTGTGGTCCAGTAGCGGCGAAAGGGAGGCCCGGCGCAGGCCACCGGGGTGGGGAAAAAAATGGCGCGACCATCCCAATTCAAATTTTGAAATTTGAAACCTTCGTAGTAACGCGACCGTGCCAGAGACGAGAGGGCCGCTGGAGTGCACACTGGAGCCAAATGTCCGTACGGAGGAGTACTGGTGGGCATGGCTTAATAGGCGGGCATTGGAACTGACACCGACGTAGCACGAACGGTAACAGTCATCCCGCACGACGTCGCCAACGGGTTCCACATTTCTCTACAGGCCGTCCATGCCAATCTTGTGGACTGCCATAGCTGACCGCGTACGTCGGGGGCATGCGTGAAGTGTGGGATTCCGTGAAGCATGTAGAGTGTTGCCGCCATATCCGTCGACGTGGAGACAAGGAAACGAGGGCACCGACGAGCAAAGGGGTGTTGGGCATTTCCGCATTGCACGTCATGAACATAGAGGGAGAGGTGCGGGCCGTTGGGAATGCATTGACGACTGCGGAGAGAAATGTTGTGGTTGCGGCTGTGTCGACCGTCGCCATTCGTTATCGCATTGAGAGCAACAACATGCCTGAAGATGAGACTGTCCATTCGCAGGCAAAGGCAACTCATGCAACAAGTTATGGAGGCACCCGATTGTGTATCGTTGTCGGAATCCATTGGGCAATTCTGCTGTGCTGTGGCATCGGGTGCGATCCCGTAGGCGAGTCCGAGATGGTGGATGAGGAGAAGGACGGGAGGGACATGGGTGGATCTTTGGAAGATGGATGACATGGCGGAGGGCTACTATAAGGAGAAGGTGTGGATGTCCCGTAGAGTGTTCCTGGAGATCATTGAGGCGTTGTCCCCTCATCTGCAGCGCAGGGTGACATTCTACAAGGAGCCTTTGATGCCCGACCACATCGTCGCATAGGCGCTTGATCGTTGGGCAAGCGGGGAGATGTACAAGAGCAACACGTCGTCATTCGGTATAGGTCGCGCATCAGGATTGATTGCAGTGGAGGACATGACGAGGGCGCTTCTCAGTGCGTACCGGGAGAAGATTGTTTGGCCTTCTGGGTTGCGGCGGCTGGTCGTTCTGCGCACGTTCGAGGAGAAGGGTTTCCCCAACTGCTATGGCTGCATAGACTGCACGACACATCTACGTGGACAAACCAGCCAACGGGCCGTCCGAGAACTATTTCGACCGGAAGCATCGTTTTTCGGTGGTTGCGCAAATGGTTGTGGACTTGGACTTGCGTGCGACAGACGTTTTCGTTAGCTACCCCGAGAGCTGTCACGACATCCGAGTGCTTCAGTTGTTCACTCTGAAGACGCGCGCTGAAGAGGGGGATCTTTTTCGTGGTCCTGCTGTGCTCCTGCCATTCGGGGTGCAAACACACAGGTACATCCTTCGCGATAATGGCTATCCTCCCACGGAGTCGATCGTGGTGCGTTTTGGAGGGACCGATCAGATCCCCGATGAGGAGAGGTTCGGCAACAAGCAGAAGGTCGCCAGAGGAGTGGTGGAGAGAGCTTGTGGTAGGTTGATATGGACACTCTCCCACAACAGTTCCAAGCCATGTGCATTCTACACAACATCCTCCTCGATGTCGGCATCGACTTCGATGACAACTTGTTGTGGGAGGTGTGGACTTGGGGATGTATTATCCACCCCACCCCATTGCGGAGAACTTCAATCGGCCCTGGGCGTTAGTCTTGCGAGAAGCACTTGCGGAGCGCATGAAACACGAGTGAACGCACTCGTGCACTCTCCACAGCACTACCTCGGTCGTTGCTCTATTGCGGAGGATGACTGTCCTGATGTTCGTCGTTCTTCGCCACGGCCGGCGGGGGGGGAGGAAGGTGGGGCTGGGGGAACGTCGATAGCCGGGTCCATGCATTTTTTGTTTTTTTTTTAGTGTAGATTTATTTCATGTTTTCGTATTGTCAGTGTTCTTTTGTTGCTGAACATTTGTAGAGCGATGGACGGTGCTCCATCAACGATTTGAATATGGTGGCGCTATCGCCTTTACTCTGCGTTTTGAACTTCTCCAACACTTATTTTGTCGTCCTTTTGTAGTTGTGTGGCCATGTTACGGTTCAAATTTCTCTCCTGCTCATTCTGTGCTTGGTTGTATGCTGCATGTCTTCGGTGATAATCCCATCGGAGTCACATCGACGGGTTCAATCACACTAAAATCATGATTATTGTTTTATGAGAATTGTTCAATTGATCAATCAGTCTATCAGGGGATAAATCGATCAATCAATCCATCGATTGATCGATCAATCAATCATTCAATCAATCGACCGATCAGTCAATCGTTTAATCGATCGATCAATCGATCGATAAATCAATCAATCAATCCATCAATTGATCGATAAATCAATCAATCAATCATTCGATCAATCGAACAATCAATCAAACAATCGATCAATCATTCAATCAATCAATCGGTCAATAGATGTATCAAACAGTCAATCAATCAATCATTCAGTGAATCAATACGGAAATGGCAATCACAAATTCGAACGATTGAAGTCAGCAGTATTCGTGTGCAAAAAGAATAAGAATAAAAAAATAATTGGTGTGCTTGAAAGGCTGAAAGTTGCACCAAGTATCACACACCATATTCACAAGTTGTAGTTGTGGGTAGCCACCCCCAAGCGAAGTGACCGGCTGCCAGGTTCATCGCCACACGCATCCTCGTTGCAGTTGTGGGTCGAATGTGCCTTTTCCTGCCTCCACGACGACCTACCATCCGAAGCCACCCTTCCACACTTCAAAAAGTTCCCGCCCGCCCTTCCCACCCCAATTTGCAACCCGCACCCCCCCCCCGCATGCCCCCCCCCCCATCGGTATGTCCAGCACCCTCGGCTCACCGAGTCCTTGAGAGTCCTCTCGTTTATCACCTTTCTCTCTCTACACCCGCGGCATTGGCCGCGGGCATTTCCGCCGC